CTTAAATTTAAATTTAAGTGGCATTAAAAAGGTCTTAAAAAGTCTTAAATTTACCTTGCCTTAAGCTGTAGGAACCCTGTATCAGCAAAGAAATAAAGTGTGATGATGGTAAGTTGTCTTTTTTTTTTTCCTGCTGTGCACAGGAGAGCCAGTGCAGTGCACTGCGTGGTTGGGCCAGTGCATCCTCTACATCCTCATCATGGTSTTTGAGAAAGTTCTTATCATGTTGGTCCTTCTCATCCCCCAGTGGAAAAATGTAAGAAAATAAGAAAATAAAGTTAGTGTGGAATGTTGTGGTTATTTTACATGTTTTTATATAATCTGAGACAATAATTTGTAAAAGCACCCTACAGAGTCATTGTTGATGGGAGAAGTCTTTAAAAATAATGTTTTATGTTTTTATCTTTGCACACCACATAGACTAAACATATGGGTAACTGCATTGACCTTATTTTATCACCTAAATCTGGGCACTTTCCTGTTGCTCAGTTTTGTGATCTTATTTACGTTTTGGGCAGAAATACTATTGTTTGACTAAACACTGTTAGTTTTTCCCACTTGTCAAACATACAGCTGTCAAAATGTTAACCATGGGAAAGGATGCAAACGCAACTTAAAGAATAAGGAAAAAAAAATTAACATTATTGTCATTGGACTCCATCACAATACTCTGGCTTTTTGTATGATTTCCATCAGCCGTGGAGGACAAAGAAAAGTTGGGGTTTTGGCTGAAAGCTTTAAGCTGCAACCGAAACAACTAAATATTTTTGTGAAATTGGCAAATGTGGTTTATTTTTTATTTTTTTTTGTATTCAGTTGTGTTGTGGGGTTTTCACTGAAAAGGTTTCAGTGCTAAACTAGGGTTGATGCTGAAGTTACTTCACTGGTTCTTAAAGAATAAAGTTTAGTTTGGTTTTCCACAGCCAGACTCCATCATGTCATTAAATGTCTCCTCTGGTCATGGATTGATCTTCAATCTGTTGAGTTTTATTAGAGGAGCACAGAGCAGACATGATTTAAATCCACAGATCGCAGGGTTTGATTCATTATTTCTGCAAGCAGATGTCTTAGATTCACCTGTCTGTTTCATAAATAGTTTTTTAAAACAGCAGTCAGTGTTTGTGATTGTGAAAGCTCTGCCAACTGGCATTTCTGATCTACGATCTTATTTGGAAACTCTTGCGAACGGAAGTTATACTTCCTCCAATAGGGTTCCTAAACACCAGCTGGTGGGATAGAAGAGCTAAAATGTTTATAAATGGTATATGGTTTATAGTGGTGGAAACAGAAAAAGGTGGTGTTAATTTAGCTCTGGCTCTAGTTTAGGACTGAAACTTGTTTGATTGGAAAATAATCTACCCTGGACCTCTTTATCTGGCTATTGTCAAGGTGATTGCTGCCTAAAGGCCCTGTCACACTATAACGTTTTAAACAAATTATGCTGACTTGTGAAAATTTTATGACTATTTTACTCATACTGACTAAATATTCAATCTGTTAGCATTGCAGTATGTATAGGTCCAACAGAGACTTCCAGTAGATTTTTTTTGTATTCCATCTTCAGCTTAAACATCTTTGGTGTTGGACAAACGTTTTGTAAGGCATATGTTGTCTAAAACATTATAGTGTGACAGGGCCTTAAAACCAAGTACTTCTATTAATTATGACAACTAGACTTTATGTTAAGTGGCTTTTCAGTGGATTAAAGATACAAGTATATGTCTTTTGTGTGTTTGTGTGTCTCACAGCTGGCTCTCCACAACCCCATAAACAATCCTGACCTGGAACTGGCCATTGTCATGCTCATCGTTCCGTTCTTCGTCAATGTAAGTCTGCTGTTATTACGTGCGTGTGTTTTTTAGTCCTGGACCAATTGTACTCATGTCTAATGAGCTCCTGAACATCACTGTTTGTTCATATCATACTCATTGTCTTGTGTTTTATTTCGAGGTATCTTCCCAGATTTCATGAGTTCTCTTAAAATCTTTTTTTTTTTTCACAAGAAACCCTTTTCACCAGTGTTGTCTGTGTTTGGGTTCAGGCCCTCATGTTTTGGGTGGTAGATAATTTCCTGATGAAGAAGCACAAGACAAAAGCAAAACTGGAGGAGAGAGAAGACGATTCTCGTGGGAACAGTAAGGTTCGCTACAGACGAGCTCTTTCTCACGATGACTCGGAGTCAGAGGTAAGTTCACATCAGAGGGGACGAGTCGGGCTCCTTTTGTATGAATGCTGTTTACTGTGATACAAACTGGGGACAAACACCCCTACTGGAAAATCCTCTTTAGATTGTGTTTTTTTGCTTGTTTTCCCCCCCAAAAAACCTGTTCAGTCGTCACCCTCCATTGAACCTCAGCTCTAATAAAACTCAAAACTTCAGACTGTTTTTGTTCTACAGGGGTGTCAGACTCATTTTCACCGAGGGCCACATGAGCGTTATGGTGGCCCTCGAAGGGCCACTTGTAATGAACTTTGATGTTTCATGTTTAACTTTGACTAAACAGTTTTAACACGTCCTCTTTTAAACACTGATAAGAACTAATGACTGACTAAATCTGAAATAAATACAGAAATATTATTAAAAGTAAAACAAAAAGTTTTACTCACTGAGTTTCTTGTGAGTAGCTGCATTATGGCAGATTTAGTTTGTTTGATGCCGACTTTAAAGCAGCTTATTTTCAGACATTAGTACTGTGCTATCCAACTAATTGCTCAGTTACTTCAAGCCAACAGCTCAGGGACAGGATTTTTTTTTATTTATTTTTATTTCATTTATTTTTATTAAATTAATGTTGTTGCATTTAACCATAAATTTAAAGTTTACCGTTGATTTAAGAAACAAATTTCAAGTTAAGTAAAAATAAAATAAAAATAAATAAACAAACAAATAAATAAATAAATAAAATAAGAATTTTTGGGGGGGTACCCCCTGGCGGGCCACACGGGAGTTACCCGTGGGCCACATTTGGCCCGCGGGCCTTGTATTTGACACGTGTTCTAGGAGGTCTTATGGTAGTTTGCAGACATGTGATGTATATTCTGGTAGTGGGTTTCCACTTTGCAGCCTAAATGTTTCTGACCTGTCGGCACATAAAGAAACCCTCTGACTGGACTCTGTTGGATGTAGTGTGAGGTCTTTGTGGATTGGGCTTCTCTCATCCCAGAAGTCCTTAGATCTGATGTCTGTGAGCCTTATGGTACATTTACACCAAACGCGTTTTGAGCATCAGGAGCATCTGGTTTACATGCAAAGTCAATGGTGGACATGCATCTAGGGGCGTCTAGAAGCCGAGCAGCACATCTGGCGCATTTGGAGCAGCGCGGCTCGAAGCAGTGCACGCATCATGAGCATTTTCCAAGCGCGCGGCACGTCCCAAGCATCCAACACGAGTTGGAAAATCTGAACTTTTGCTGCTCGACGCGTCGCATCAACCAATTCAAGAGACTCATTTTTGACAAGTTTCCTGAATGTTGCCTGCTAAACCGAAACAGACGAACAGGAGATCTTGACCTGAAATCGACCATCTGCAGTTGGATTTTCTGGCTGGAGATATCAGTACCGATGTGGGTCGGGAAGAAAAAAAGGGTCCGTCAGCTGGCAGATTCTGGAGTGGCGAAACCAACAGAACAATTCGCCTCTAAATCATCTGGTGAGTTAATTATCTACTGTGCGCAACGTTATCTTGCTCTTTAGTAAATAAATCAAATTCATTTTCTTTTTTATATCTTTATTTCACCCGCCGAGGGCAGACGCTCCTCCTCCCACACCCCACTGCCACCGCCGCTGCTGCTTCTCGTTCTGGTCTGTCCAGCATCAAGTTGCGTGTGTTTTGAGATTTTTGGAGGCGCGCAACGCGTTTGGTGTAAACGTAGCATTAATGCCTCGTTAAAGCTTCAGACTCTTATTTTGGCTTGTTGTTAATCATTACTTTGAAAGAGTCATACATGTGTCATGTACTATTTTGTTCATAATAGTGTCAGGCAATGATACCATCAAAAACACACCGCTCTGACTTTCAATAACATCTAAATCAGTGAACTAGAACAGAAGTTTGTTGATTTAAATTCCTGCGTTTTGTGCTGCAACCCTGCTTGAATCAGATTTGATTGAACTACAAGGTAAGGTGAAAGGAAAATGTTTTCATTTTTTTAAAAACATTCTTGAGATCGGCAAAGCTGTGATGCTTTCACAGGGCTTCTGTGAAAAACAGTGCGCTGGATTGGACAGCACGGACTTCAAACTTTTTAAAAGTAATGTTAAAACCAGATTTAATGATAAAAAATTTGCCATAATATGCGCATTTACAGAACGTTTTGTGACCAGAAAGTGCGTGACTGCACCATGAAACCTATTTTTCCCATTTCCTCAAACACACCACATTTCCGAAACAACCAATCAAAACAGTTTCTCGCAACTAGGCTTGTAAACAGAGAGCTGCTGGGCCTCAAAGTTTGGAGACGGGGGA